ATGCAATCTGGTTGAGGAAAATGTTGACTGATATGGGATAGCCTCAACTTGGTCCTAGTTTGATTTATGTGGACAATATGTCAGCTATTGCAATCGCTCAAATTCCTGTGCAACACAAAAGAACTAAGCATGTTGATGTCAAGTAATCAGACAATACATCAAGAATAAGCACATTTAGTTGCTCCACTGTAACTCAGATGTTCAACTTGTTGATATTTTTACAAGGTCTTTGCCAAAGAAGAGGTTTGAAATGTTGGGAGAGCAGCTTAGAGTTACCAGACTTGCTCTCAAGGAGGAGCGTTGAAGCAACTAAGATCAAGTCTTTTAATTTTATTGTGACAATTATGTGTTAGCAATTATCTTTATGTAGCAGTTTTCTTTATATTATTTTGTGATTCACGCTTCATGGTGTGGTAGTTTATTTTACAGTTACTTAACCTCCTTATGTTTTAGTAACTGTCATGTTTGAGTTGTTGTTTTGCTTTGAAAAAAATAGTATGTACGCTTTATGTTTATGTCCATGTTTGCTGGTATATACCAGATAAAACTCAATTTATGTTCTTTCAATTCAGTGTTTATGTTCATGTTGATTGATGAGCTAAATTTATATTCATATTAATAGGAAATTTTTACTTTGATATTATTGATATTTGGATGGGTATTTATAGGATTTTAGAAACCCTAATTGAAATAGAAGTAGGACTTGGAATAGAAATAGGAAACTGAATTTTGGATGCTGATCGCGTGGTGTTGACACTTTGGATTACGTGTTGACACAAAATAGGAAACAGAATCTGAGTCTGGACGTTTAACGTATGGTGTCGACACAGTGTTGATTCAAGTTAAATCTTGAGTTTATGTTTATTTCCACTCATATTACATCTTTACTTTCACAATCTTGAAGCTAAAAACAGATATTGCTGTACCAGAATTGGAGGAAGATCAAGTTCTAGTCAAGGTGCTTGCTGCAGCACTAAATCCTATTGATTTCAAGAAGATGCTTGTGTAAAAAACTATTGTACCCTTAAGCCTCTTTTTCTCTTCTCGTTTGTAAAATTTCTATGATTTAACTATAAAATCAAACACAGATCTGTGCAAGCACAACATGGATAAGGAAATCATTTGTTATTTTAGCATGCTTCTTGTTTCTGGTTCTTTTTATAAGATCGTTCTAGGATTTGACATTGCTGGTGTGGTGGTGAAATTGGGAGACAAAGTGGAGAACTATAAGGAAGGAGATGAAGTATTTGGCTTCATCGATATTCAGAAATTCTTGCAAGACCTAAAAGTGTATGTGATGTAGAATAGGGAATATAGGTGAGGATAAAACTTAGAACCGGAGGCAAGGATGAGAAAAGAATACAGAATTAGGGATTGTTAAAAGATAATTTCAATTCATAAACACTTTCACTGAATAATCTTAATACAACTTATATTAAACATGAAGAGAATTGATCAAATTAATTTTTAGTAATGCACAATCTTCCCTTGTGTTGGGTCTAAAGTCTGTTGTTTTCTCTGTATTTTCTGCTTTATATCCGTTGTTGAACTTTACCTTACTTTTTAATTTTGTAATTGTTACAAAAGGTTGATGTATATTCCACTGTTAACCATGTGGTGCAATAAACTATTAAAAACTTTATTTAGTATGATGTTGTTTCTGGTGTTTTTGTTTTGATTTTATTTATATAGAAAGATGAAAACTAGGATATATTAATATTAAAAATATTAAAATGTTTAATTTTAACTATAATTTAAGCAAAATTTACATTATATTTTATTTATTATGTAGTTTTGATTAAATATCTTGATATTTTTAATATTAAGATGTCTTGATTTTCTACATTATCTTGTTTGTATTTAATTTTTTGGTACATCTTATGATAAATTATATAAAAAGGAATAACCTTCCTCCATTCTCTCAAATCCCTCCATAACTTAAACTTTAAACTTGAAATATGTTAAATAAAAAAATTTCACATCAATAACATAAAAAAGATATATCTGATTTAAATATAAGAAGAGTCATTTTATTTATTGTTAATTGATTTTAAATTGAAATGATGGCAATTCTTGTTTGATTAAAAATAATTTATAATAAATTGTGTTATGTTAATTATGGATTTATGTAAAT